GCGACAGCTCTCATTTTTACCGGATTTCCCCCTTCCGATGTTCTTTGTTCTAGGGGCCCTTACTATCACGCCGCCGGGTGGCCCCTTTATTTACAGTGACACTGTCTAGCAACAATTGACGCCTGACACAACACGTTGAACGACATAGTAGTAAAGCGTGCAACAAATAATAAAAGGATAAAGGATAAAGCATTTGCCGTTGATCAATCCCTTTTTGGGATGCGGCACGCATTCTACTTCCATTTGTACATTCGCAGTGGCATTTGAATACGATGTGGCCTATACAATGACTTGCAGGGCCAGCCGATGTTCAAGTCAGTGTTTTTTATCCTCCCAGACAGTCTGGTATCAATTAACCGACCCCGGAGGGATGGAAGGCTTGGTGGCCCGGGCGATTCACGACCCAGGATTTGATCCTCGGCCGCTCGGGTGGTAAGCGCGCCACTTGTCACTACACCACTTCCGCCCTGCAACAAATAATAGTGGAACTAATAGTGCTGTGGTCGTTTTCTGCAGAACTTGTCGGATGTACAAAGCATACCCTTTTTGACCCTTCACCACCCAAGACGCCTTTCCCTTTTTAACTTCACTTGGTCTGCATTTTCTTGTGAGGAGGGGAATTTAGGTGAGTTTCGGTTTTTTATGCTTTTTCAATACAAGAAAGTGTTTGCTGTGTTTTACATGTCCCTGGCTCATCGCGTAAAGATGCCCGCCCTTCCCCCTACCTCCTAACGACATCAGCGCCCGAATTCTCTCGTTCAAGCTCTACGATCACATTTAATTATGCTACTAATCAACAAATGCATGCGTATTGTTGCTGTGAATGACGTGATTTCGTTCAAGATGCAATTTTTATTTAGGAGCCACAGCCTAGGAGTGGGCTGGGGCGAAAGTTTTGCCCACAACTCAGCATTCTTGTGATAACAAAAATATCAGTTAAGAACCATTCGCGCGAAAATCTCACGCTCATGCGGGTCATGCTGTCGTCAATGTGTTAAGCTGAATATATTGAATAGAGAGAATTCTTCCTTCAACGCGAGTGTTGATCGATTAGTTTCTCTGAACGTGGAATACTAACATCAAAAAGAAGTTTTAGTCACAAATAGCCCTGTTCGTAACTACGAGCGCGAACAAGTTTGAGGTGCTGGTAACACATTCGAAAGCTAGTGAGAGTGAAGAGAGTGAACGTCAGTGAACATTCAGATTGCTTCGGTGATGGAGACAGAATTTGGCGATCCAGCGGTTTCATGGCTAATTTTGCATTTGATTGTGTGTGCGGCGTGTGCACGAGTGTAGTGTCATCATGTTATTGTTGCGTTCTCGATACGGGGAAGGGTTTTTGTGGAAGTGTGATTGGTGTATGTATGTCGCGGACGTCTGTGTCAATCACGAAGTGCATCCATGAAGAACAGAAAACGAGCGCATGTCGAGGAAGCGCGCACGTTCTCTCGTTGCCACCGATCGCTCACGTTTTCTTCATCGTTGTGCTCGGCACATCCGCTCGCTCATCCTCATTTTCTTGCCTGGCTGGCTGGCTGGCATGAAGCCGCCGGCTGACCGCCAACATCTGAGATTGAGATGTCCTCCGTGACATCGTCACGCCAATTTATCGCCGCCGCACGTGATTCCATTTGTTCGTCGACACTCAGATGGCGTTATTCCGTTTAAAATAGTTCACCAGCCCTCGGATTTCACCCACTCATTCGCCTTCAACTCTCCCGCTTGCCGTCACTCTCTTCACTGGAAACGTAGCCGTGTAACACGCCGACTGCGACAGATTGCTGGCTTGTTGCGATTGGAGCGCATCTACTGACGACAGCCTGCTGGCCACACTCACACTCACACGCGACCACATTCGCACTTTTGCCCTCCCGTCTCCTCCGCTTGTCTGAGCTGCTCAGCCTCCCCACACAGAGCGCTCTCTCATCGTGGGGGCGCGCCTGTGTTACTGCCACGCATGCATTCGCGCCATCCCTCTCTCTACCTTGTTTACCATGTGAAGCGATGCGCATCCTTTTGTTGGTCTTTGATCATTATTAGTAACGATAGCAGCCGAAAATGGAGCATAGTCAGAACGATTGATGTGTGATCAACCCCGAATCTTTGTTTGTATTTTCTTTTTATGTTCTTTTCCTAACTAATCTCTTTGTCAGTGCACTGTTGTAGTGTTATCGGACTTTATTAGTTTACTGCTTATCATGTTTCGTTGTTATGCGGTCTGGTGATTGGGGTCGCTCTGAAATAACCCAACCGAGTGTTAACGTCGACCGGCTAGTCGCTTAGGCGGCTGCTGCAGTCGTGTATCCGAATTCGTATAAAATTCGTCTAGTTTTCGTCGCTGTGTTTATTCAAGCGGTCGGCCAGTTATGCGGTCAATTCGTTTGTGTTTGAGATTTAGGCGATGCCATGATGAGAGAAGCAGAAAGCAATGGAGGAGACTCGGATGCGGACGCCGAAACACGATCTGCACCCGGCGATCTCGGAGCGCCACGACGTAGTCGTGCCACCAAATGGTTTGTTTCAATTTGTTCTTTGATCTGTTTTTTTTAGTACTTGTCTTGTTTTATCTACAAGATCTACCCGAGCTATTTTTCGAGAAAGTAATGTTTGGAAAGTTTCACAGTACGTTGCAGCGTCGACAACAGGGATTAAAGTAGGCGCCTCCCAGTCTTCTCAATGCCATCGAAATGACTTTCTTACTCCATGAAACAGTAGCCCAGTCACGTGAATTTCATGCCTGGAATAGCCAAGCAATATCCGTCTAAGCCGATAATGGAAGATTATGGTTCAATTGAACAAAAAAAGAAACAAAAAGGGAAGGGATTCGCTCGCAGTTATACCAACAACAGTTTGGATGAACTTTTCTCGTTAAATTTTGAGGGCTTGTCAATTTTTGTGGTTCCTCGTAGTGCTCCTTTGACAACTCTAGTAACATGGCCACATATTTGGTTGTGTTGG